CTCTCTCTCTCTCTCTCTCTCTCTCTCTCTCTCTCTCTCTCTCTCGGGAGCGGTAATTTAGCGGCGGACGACTATTCGGCGGATTTTCACTCGTTAACGACGGACGCGACGCGACGCTTCGCGAAGTACAAATTCGGAAAATGGTCGCCTTCCGCAGGACCTTAATTAACGCGGCGTCGTGCCGCCGCCTCCCGCATTCGCCTGGGCCGCGGGAATCGAGACGTGCCTGGGATCGCGATGTTAACCATTGTTCGCCAATGGCGGCATTACGATACGGCTGTAACCATCGCGGGGACGGTGCGGCAAGTCGAGCCGGCGCGGCGCGTCGCCTCTCGCACCCGTCTCGTCGTTAATGTAATGGCGAAAATGGTGAAACGGGCCGACATCACGTAGAGGTAATTCGGCACGCGTACGCTCGTCTATCAAATTGATTTTCGCAACCCCGCGCGTCCTTGCACGGGCACGTTTATCTCGCCGGACGACCGCTCGCCGGCTAAAAACTGTGCGCGCGGATTTTGCGAGCTCGCTGGAAACGTCGAGAAGATTCTCTCTCTCTCTCTCTTTCGCACGTACAGTCAAGAACCGCAATATATTTTAATTACAATCACGAGAATTCCTGTGCGCAAAGACGCGATTCGAGCAATCGATTCGCGCAGCTGTGGTGGTGTGTTTTACAGATGCTTACAGTCGCAGGTATATTCGGAAACGTCGGGCTCTCGAAATAATACTGTCACACGAGAAGGTCCTGTGAAAACAGCTTTCACGAGGCTCGTCTGACAGTTTTCTGTTTTCGTGAATTCTTAGTGTCTGAACAATAAGATGCGTTCATCTGATTTCGCGCGGATGGTGGTCAGTTTACACAGGCAATAGCGCGGATAATCCCCGTCCTGGTTAGCCAGGAATGGATAATGTTGAGGTCTCGCTGATCCTTCTAATAGTTTCCGAACGTTGTGACAGTTTTTCATACATAATTCTTGAGCTAACTTTGCCTTCAATCGGGTTCTCTGCTCAACACAAATTCGTGTAAGAATTTCTTACTCAATTTTTGAAAAAGAATTCAAACTACTTCTACTCCAAGTTCTGATCTTACTCAATTAAAAATCTAATCTAATTTGCTTTCGATAATCGCGACGGATACATTGAAGCGGAAATAAAAGAATGTTTTGAGCGAACGTCGAGAGTCTTTACTTGAAACGTAGAATTACAGCGACGTACCGCGACGTAGACGCTTCTTTTTGCATCGTTGAAATGGATCGACAGTCTGAGGAAACGGGAGGATACAGACAGGACGTGACGAGACGCTTTTGAAATGTTCAGAAAATGAAGGCCGAGAAGTGCGCGAGGGCCCAACCGTCGCTCCATTTCGCCGCTTCGGTCCCCGAGGCCCGTCCTAATTGACTCGCACTGGCGCCCAATCGGGCCGCAAATTATAGGTCTCGACGAAAGAAGCGATTATCGGCTAAATAAAAGAGAAAGGTAGAGATGGACTACGCAAACAAACAGTAGCACGCTGACTGTGTGTGTGTGTGTGTGTGAGAGAGAGAAAGAGAGAGAGAGAGAGAGAGAGAGAGAGAGAGAGAGAGAGAACGGAGAGGGGGAACGCAAACGCCGGTAAAAAGTGCCGTTCCGCTAAGTCGGGCCCGACGAAATGGGCTATCTGTTAACTGCTAACCGCACAAAAACGTGTTTTAATGCGTTGACGATATTTGTTGTACGTCTCGGCTTCACGCGAGATATCTTGAGTGGTGAATTGTTTGCCTCTCTTCGTGAGGCAAATATTGAAGAGAGCGTTCAAAGTTTCGGGCAAGTGTATGCGAGACTCAAATGATTCATCATTATCATGCAAAAGAAACAGTTAAATTGAGATTGCTGTTAACTAGCATACCGGGCTTCAGCATGATCTAGCTGTCCAATAATGGTTCCCCAATGGATTCCCCTTTTTTTCTCTTTCTTATGAATCCACCATAGAAAGTTTGGACATTTTCCTCCTTTCAGAAGCTCCAAAAACTGCAAAAAATATATATAATTATATATATATAAATATAACTTGTATGAGACATACTGAGACATATTTTTATTGCTTAATTATTGAAAAGATATATTTGTATAGTTACTTTAACATATTATCTTTATATTAGCAAAATAAAAAAACAGTTAAATTGATATTCCTGTTAACCAACATACCTGGCTCGAAAATGATTTAGTTGCTCAATATTGAATCGTTAATGATCTGATATCTCTCTTTTATCACAAGTTCACTGTAGAAAATTCAGATATCTCTTTCCTTTCCTAGAGAGACTCTCTTCTTTAAATACGAATAAAATACGAATAAAATATGTTTAACTCATATTATGTCATATTTTTATCATTAAACCATCAGAAGAATAAAATACACTTGTATAGCTGTTTTAAGATACCTTAGTAGAATATAAATAGTGAAATCGACATTGCTGTTATTTAACATATCTGGTTCAAGTATAATCTGACTGTTTAATAACTCCCTGGTGAATTCCTTGACTGCATCTCACGGTCTCTTTCTTTCCACAGTAAAAAGTTTGGACATCTCCCAAAAATTCTACTGCGAATAAAATGACATGTGACTGTACGTACTTTTATTGTCTAACCATCTGCAATATGACACGCTTGATTGCTTGAAAATACATCTTTATTAGAAGATATTTCGAGAAAATTGTCAACGCTCGAGTACACCATGTCCGCGCCGAATACTTCGTCATAACCTATCAAGCTATACGACCTTTTTCAATGTTTCATCAGAAACACGCGTGACGCGTATAACCGATTCGTAACGAGCGGCAACGCGACGAATGCGATTACGTTCGTACGGAAAGCAAGATAAATGCGTCTAATAAAGGCACGTATATTCACGCGATAAACTGCAACGGCCGTGAAACGACGTCAACGCCAATTTGTGCGCGCTTGAGTTCCTTACAAATTTCGTACGTGAGTCGGCAGCCAGCCGACAGAGGGACATCCTTTAAAAGCGTCAGTAGCCCCCTCAACAGGGAATCGCAGTCCTTAATAGGGTCCCTAAGGGTAGTGTTTACAAGTCGTTCTTATTTGTCTGATGTATGATCTTAATGCTACCTACTTCACTAATGATCTTTAATTACATATTGAATCATGCGTTACGTATAGATAAAACAGTGAATTGGGGAGACTTCGGAGATATCTCGGCGAGACATAAAGCACATTACTACAGATATAGCAGGCACGTTTAACCAGATCAAAATCTTATCGTCGGTTACGATCGGTAGCGGTCGGGTTACGCTCAAGTGGTACATCTAATTTATTGAGCGCGACAACGCGATAATAACAGCCCCTCTGTAAACTGGGTGATGATGACAATAATAATAATAATAATAACAGTAATAATAATACCAACAATAATAACAACAAAGCGACGGATAGAGAGAAAAAGAGGTATACATATACAGAAGAGAGCCGATCATGGATGAACGAGAGAAAGAGAGAAACAGAGAAAGAGAGGGAGAGATAGAGAGAAAAAGAGAGGGAGAGATAGAGAGAAGGAGAGATAGAGAGAGAAAAAGAGGGAGAAATAGAGAGAGAGAGAGAAAGAAAATGAGAGCGGCCACTCCTCGCGATTCGAAGCCATCGTGTGGTATGAGGGTCTACTTAGCATTCGGTGTCACGTAGAGCCTGCGTTTTAATACATCAAAAACTCGGGAGCCCCTCTCCCGCCCCTCTCTCCAGCCTGGTTTCCGCAGGGCGATCCTCCTTGCCGGGTACGCGACACCCCTGGGGGTTCTCCCGCGAGCGGCATTCATTTGTTCGGTCTCGCGAGGACTCTGCTCTCTAGGAGAGTGAGAGGAGAGAAAACTAGGGGGAGAGAGAGTTAAAGAGAGATGCACAGAGACGGGGCGAGAGAGTGAGAGAGCGACGGTGCGTGCCTTTTGTTTTGCCGGGGGCGCGCTCCGATTGGCGCGTTCGCCCAGTCGCGCCGGCCATGGCAGCCTTTTCCCGGGCTAGGGATATCGGGCCAATAGCTTACTCGAGGGCGTTCCTGGGGCGGAGATTGCTACGCGTCCTGCATCCGTCGTCTCGTCGTTGTCATTATTATTATTATCATCGCAGCGCGCGCGATGTATACCTTTATGAGCTTCCGGTCGTGCCCGCAAGGTTGGTAAGAGCGACGCGCTCCTTTCATGAACAAACCGCGTCTGCGTTCACTGGTGCGCCGCCAGATGGCGTCACGAGTACGATTGTCGAAGGAAGGTCAAACTCGGCGACTGATGTGTACATATACGCTTTCGATAGACGAGAGATCCTGGCTATTTGGACGCAACAGCGGAACAAAGCCTGCTTATCTCGAATATACCAGAGAATACCGCTCCTCGTATGTATTCTGTTATAAATGAAGTCGTTTTCTGCTTAGAACAACGTCTTGCAATCGCGCGCAGTGCGTGCGCATTATCATCGATATCTAGTTAATATTTTCTCGCGTCTCAGAGATCATGTATATCACGTATACGTAAATGTATATCACGTATACGTATACGTATACGGAAAATAACGAGCGCGTCTCGATTCCTATCCTTTATTTTTAGACTGTCATTATATCATATCGATAATTATTATTGAGATACCCATCGTTTGTAAACTTGACAAAAAGTCGCGCGCGCGCTTCGATGTCAATGCGCCATGTCAAATTCAAATATCTCAAGCTACCAATCACGTCGATCTTCTCTATTCAGTGGACGCGCAGAAGCCGGTGAGTTGGTCTCTGTTTCGCTCTTCGAAAAACCATCAATTTTTGTGCAATCAGCTGTGTCCAGTGGATTATTTTGTGCGGAAGTGCTTGCCAAGCAGATACTGCGTGGATTAAGTACCTGGGGCCATAATCTGGTTGTTATCTTGCGGCTAATTCGACTCGAGCCGTGAACTGTGATGTCACGATCGTTTCGAAGCAACGAACTGATCGTTCAGGTATTAATTACTTTCTTCTCTTCGCTCGTGCCAGTTCGCTAATTCGATCTGGGAGACTGTAATGCCACTCACTTCACTGTAGTCTGCGTGTAGTGTTTCTAATTAGCCGTGTAAAAAGTAGCTCTGTAAAGTCTCATGTATTGTCCACTGCTCTTGCGTTGGTGAGCGGTAAAAAGTACTAAAAACTAATCAGAGAGGTCGACACTTGGCCGATGTATTAGAAAACTATATTGATCTCCCCGATCGATCTTTCGAATTGCGCAATTGAGTGCTTTTACGGTGGTTAAGCACGAGAGAGCCGGGTCTCTGACGGACTTCGGCATAATTCATCCCGCTAAAGGTCAGAGGTTTTAATATCCTCTGTTGGACACCCACTTGGCAGTGATAATTCGAAGTAATAAGCGCAAATTGGCGGACCCTTGCCGTTCGCGAATGCAAGTACGAGCATCTAATCTCGGACATCGGAGGTTATTTCATAATCTTTAAAACGAACTTTCGGAGTACAGCTGGAATCGAAGGTGAAAGAATAGATAAGCAGTGATGAATTTTATCGTCGAAGTGTGTTAACGACTGTCTCGTGTTTGGCGATGTGTATTAACGGGACACAATATGAATTTGTGTGATATTATCTGTGTATGCTGGACAAAATTCCCGTATATTCAAGATAAAGAACATTCCTGTACATTCGAAATAAAAAACATTCTTTCATTTATGAATACCGCTAATGTTTGCTTTTATGTCCAAACTTTATTAATATTAACGGAAATCAATAACTTTCTAAAAATTAAACTTTAATTAACCCGGGTGAGTCTTGAGGTTTTTGTTTTTTCTCTTTAGTTAGTATTTCTAGTCTTGTTTCATGACTTTATCCGACTGTTTAACACACTGTTTTTTTCCTAATTTTTTTTATCAAGTAGACTCCTATTCTTCTTGTTTCTTCCTTCTTATCTTCTAATCTTATGAATTTTATTGTTATTGTTATTTCTGTTTATATAATTCTTTTGGTTTGGATTATAAAATTATGCACTATTTTTGGGATTTTGTTCTTTTTAGCTGAACTATCTGAACTGGTGCACACTGATGCAATAAGTTAGAGTGAAACAAACATATTTTATTTCACTCTTGCTTATTGCATAGTCTGCACCAATTTAGGCAGTTTAGCAAAAAAAAAAGACTTTTGGTTTAATCAAAACTTATTTGAAAATTACTGACTATTCTGCCGTAAGCAGCATTGAAAAGAAAATACATGGCACGATACGTCAAACTTATGTTCTTCACGGGGAGACTACTTTGCGAAATTGTCAAGGGATCTGGCGGCAAAAATTTCAGCATATTCGAAGTAAAGTATCAATAGGTTTCGAAAAGTTGACTTTAGTCGACCCTCGAGTGGGTCTTGGTTCGATCGAAATTTACTTAAAAAATTGATTATCCTCCCGTAAGAAGTATTGACAAGAAAATACACGGCGCGACACGTCGGGCTTATTCTCCACGGGGAGACTACTTAGCAAAATTGCCAAGGGATCTGCATCCGAGCAAAAACACGTCTATTTCTGAGACACCCGATGTAGAGCGACATTGTCGCGTAATTAATGTAGTCGAGCGAATTACGAACGAAGCCGAATCTCTCGCGCAAACTTACGGGGAACTTGTCGCAACTCGAGCACTTTCCTAAATTACGAGGATCCCGTTGTCGATACGCGCGCTATAGCGCGGCTCGCAAACGCGACCGAAGTTTCCGCTCGCATGGCCGTCGATTCGGGCGTGTGTTCTCTCGCTATTCTATACCGTGTATGCCAGGGGCGCGAGCAAATGGCGCTCATTTGTTGCGATAGCGATCTCGCCGGGCATCTCGCAAAAAGCGCGCGGCTTAACGACCTAGATGCGCCTATGCGATATCCGGTCACAGATCCGTCAGTGATATCGAGCGTGGCTCGATGCGCCTACCGGTATTAAAAATGTATTACGCAAGGTGTCGTCCGTCCGTTTAAGCCGCGAGCGGTCGCGTCACGCGAAAGAAAAAACGCCCGTCGCTTTAAATTAAAACGGCAAACACGCGGACGTTTGAGCGCGTGTTCGCGTATCACGCTTCACACACGACCAACGTCGTCTTGTTCTTGTGAGGCGAATGTTCTTTCGCGAAATGTAAAATCGATTGATTTTATCCAAAGCGAGAACCTTGGCAAGCTACGTCTCTTTCGAGACATAATCTCGACACGTAACGTTTCAGGCGCGAAGAAAGATTCTCGGCCGTAACACGCGACTATCCCGATTACAAGTTTATTCCATGGTCCTGATCAGGTCGATTTCAATCAATAATCTGGTCTGTACAAAATTGTCGGGTGCCAATAAGTCATTAATGAAACTATTAATAATGAAGTCCTTATTAATAATCAGGATCCAATAATATTACTTTATACAAACCGAATAACTGCACTGAAAACAAGATACTTGGAAATTATTTGTGGGATATAAAAAGTTTAGTTCTGTGAATGTGTGAGCTTTATATTCCACAAATAAATTTTCAAGTATTTTTTTCCCAGTGTATTTTTTCCCTGATCAGCATCATGGGATATATTTCTCTTGTCGGGATAATACACAAGTCCACGTCTCGATCAACTCGTGAAACAACCGACGACCTGGCACTTACTCGCTGGCACTTAATTACCGCGGATCCATTCCAAACGATTGCTATTATTCAGGGCGATACGTTTCTTGCGCCGATAGTGCGATTACCCTCTAGGAAACTCGCGATACACGACATCGCGCGGGTGATATAACGTTCGCTGCCTTCCGCATCGATTCCTAGAAGCCAGCTCATTCGCATGAGAACAACGAGCGGCGTGTAGAGCGCGGTCTATAATTAGCGAGCTGACGTTGGTGGTTTTATAAAACGCACTTTCTGGTAATTACGTGTTCGACGATATCGCGCGCCGCGTAACATTGAACCTCTCTGTGTATATCGGCCGATTTATCGGCGGACGGGCGTCTTAGATGGATGCGCCGCGCGCCGTTGTTCGCGGCGATGCATAATGCAAGCGAAGCGAGGATGGATGGATGGATGGATGCGCCGCACTGCGCGTTGTCGTCGTTCCGTACGGCGTAAGTGCATTGTCCCTACGTCCGACTGCATACATTACACCCTTAACGTAAAACTTGGGAAACTCGTAACCGCGTCGGGACGCTGCTTAAAGCGCGAACCGACAGGCAATCTCCTCTCTTTTCTCTTCCCTTTCTCCTCCCTCTTTCTTTCCCTTCCTTTTTTTTCTCTTCTTAACTACGAAGTGAGCGCGTTTTGCATTCTTTGTCGGGTTAAACAGCAGCCGAAGCGTTTCCGCGATCGTCCTCCGTCCGCGGCGGCGGAGAAGTATTCTTCCCTTCTTCTCGCGAGTAATCTTTTTTTCACGACAATCACGAGTAATTAGCGAGCGTGTAGAAGTCGGTTTACTTCGCCTCGTTTCGCGCCCCTCGAGCAAGCCCGTGCGACTCTTTCATGTGTAGCATTGCTCGTAGATTCAACGGGATTTGATAAGTCTCCTAGGAACTTTTCTCAAGGTAAAGGAAAAGAAAAACGTCCGTCGGTCACGAGGTTCTCTCGCTCGATAATCCTCGCGAACGCGATGCGCCCGCTGATGCAGCCGGCGACGCGATGCTGGATGCATCGCCGCCAGCAACAGCGACAGCAGCAGCCTCGATATATGCGGCTGTTCGGGAGCGCGTTACCGCGTTTTTCTCAGTTGGCACTTCGGCCGACGACGAAAGCCGTCGTCGCCGCGACGGCGGGAAGGGCGGCGAGGAGCGGCGGGAGAGGGGGGCCGTGGGACGGATACACAGAAGGAGAATAAAAAAGGGAAAAAAGAGGGAGAAAGAGAGAGCGAGAGAGAGAGAGAAAGAGAGAAGGGACTCCGCGACGCAGCGGAAGGAGTTGAGAAATGTCAGCCGGCAAATTGGAAGAGGGCGAGGAAAGGGGAGGCGCGGGGGATGAGACGACTCTCTACGGCAGCCTCGACGTCAAATAAACATGCCAGGACGAGCAATTTCGAATATTAGAAGGTCCCGCAGGGTAGGTGCATCCTGCGTCAGGGCGCGTGAGCTACGGTGATGACGTTCGACCGCAGGACGCATCAGAGACTCACTTGCGCGGCCCGTTGCAATTGCAAGTGCTGACCGCAAAGTAAATGGGCGCCGGCCAGCGGGGAATTAAAGATCCTCCCGTCGCGCGAAAGACGGGCGTCTGCCAGTGGACGTTCGACGCGAATGCCGTCGTGCTGGAAGGACGCGTCCGTCTCGCGCCGCGGTCTCGCAGGGTTCTCGCGAAAGGCCCTTTCGCGACTCGACGCGGTCGTTAGGCGACGGTCGTACGGCTCTCTGCACGCGCGTTTCTCTCTCCCCCTCTTTCTCTTTCCTTTCTTTTTATTATTTTTTTTCGACGTGGACGCTTTATACGACGTCAGGACATATCTCTCGCGTTGGATAAATATACGCGCTTCTCCGCGTAGCTATGGAAAAAAAATGTGTATCTCCCTTCCTGTACGTAAGAATCTATAATACGTGATCGTTATTTTGATCGACTGTCGCGTGCGTTGAGAAATCACTCGCGAAAGGAAAGGCGAATAACATCGAGACAATAATACCACGAGGTAGGAATTATTTTTCGCAGAGGTTTGTGGTTACTGCGTTGTGTTACAGCGCAAACCGAACCGCAACCGTGGAATATTGTCGTTTTTATGCTTATTGTCGGTGCCGCGGTAAAATATTGGGAATCTACATTCTTCCGGCCAGTGAAAATATTGAGCGCGACTTACATTTAACGAGTCACGCGCGTCTCAGAATAGCTTCGTGATCTTGGAACATTAATGACATTCAGCATCCGTCCAACTTTTGATTGGGGGATCCGATTCAAGGAAGAATGAATCACTCGTCTCTCCCGCTTTTTAATTCGTCGAACAGACAATTGGGTAGTAGCCGCTCTTTTCATTCGCGACGTTCGATCCGCTCGCCTCGCATTAAAGTGTCAACGATGCCAACCTCTGTGATCAATTCGTGTTATAAACGAAAGAAATATTGTAATAGAAATTGCGTTAAAATTATATATTTTTTTTTTATTTTTGCATCGAAATTGCAGTATAAGTTACTGTAACAGATATAGTATATTTTATATGAATATATTGTATAAAAAATATTCAAGAGTTGCAATAATTTTGCAAAAGAGTGAAACGTACATAATATTTTTAAACAAATATATAGTATAGTAGTTTCGGTCGTAATTCTGCATGGTCCAAGATTGCAAAAATTTTGTAATCATAATTTTTACTGCAACATTTTCCCTGTGCACGTTAAAAATTGCTTCAATCTTAATTTGCAGATCATAAGAAGAAATTCATTTGTGATATTCAACACTGAAAAAAATAGTTGGTATTCGTAACTATATAATCGCATAGAAAAATAACTACTGCAATTTATAGTCAAGAAAACTATTTTTTTTTATTATACTATTCTGCTATAATGTTAGTGAAATAACTTTGTATGCATGTTATTACTACCATTTTTGCATTAAAACGACTGTGAAACATAGTTTGGACCGAAAATAACGATGATTTTCGTTTAGATGGAACATTTTTTTCTCTGAGTGAAAAAACGTCAGTCGCGAATTATAATGCGCGTTTCCGCCGATTAAAAATTAGGATAAATATTACAAACACGTAGCGCATCGATCTCCGAGACAAAGTACTCGTCTGATAGATAATTTCACGACGGTCGGCCCGAGGGGGAAAAGGCGAAAATCTTCGGCTGTACGTGGCGAATTTAAATAATCTTTCAGAGAGACGGTGAGAGACGGGGAAACGCGGAAAGAGAGAGAGAGGGGGTTGTCGGCTTGTGCAGGGGTGGCGTACCCTGTAATCTCGGTCACGTGCGTCTATGGGGTCGTAGGCGACGATGAGAACGAGTCGATATCGGCGCCCAAAACGACGCGATAAATATCCGATGGGAAATGCGGCTCGCGCGCGATATAACCCGATAGCGCAATGGCGACTGGCGGCCGTGAAAATTTTATTGGCTCTCTCTCCGCGGATCTCCGATCGACGAAATCGCCCGCTTGCTCGCTCGGTCTTGCCTGGCCGCTTCTCGGCAGCCAAGCAGGATCGAACGATGCGAACGGCCGGAATCGCGATTCGCCGGATCTAATTTGCATGAGATCGAGCGCGCGAGCGACGACTTAAGTATAAGTTTCTCTGCGCCGGAGTGCTCGCGCTAGCAAAAAAGCTCGTCTGACGAGGCGCGTTGTTGCGCGCTCGTTAGATCGCGCGCCGATACTGCCGCGATTGCCGCGTCAAATTATTCGTCTCGTCGACAGTGTATTGATACGACAGGATTTACGAAGGACGTGCGGCGAGATTCGCACTCGTCGGATCTGTAGTTGCGATCAGAGCAGTTACTTTCTGCGCGTAGCCAGGCGAGAATGGCGCGAATCACGTTTTGTTCTTCAGTAAAAAGCCGTTTACCAAGATATGTTAGTACATTTCTCGCTAATCAATGGGATCGGTCTGTAAAAGTGCGAGGAAATTTCTGTTCAACGCGAGAAGCTTCTGTCGCACGTTGTTGAGAATCGAAGCGAATGGTGAGAGACTTTAGGAACACACATTCGCTTTAGCGGCCGGGTAATTTCGCGCGTCGCGGAAGGTCTCCAGCCGAGCACTAATTGTGTATACAGCTTCCTCAGACTTTAGAGATACTAACATCTCAGCCGCTAATATTGATTATCCTTTGTAATTAATGTGTCAATCTCCCTCTCCTCTCTCTCATCACTCACTCTCTCTCTCTCTCTCTCTCTCTCTCTCTCTCTCTC